TTTTTTATATTCACATCCATTTTACAAATAGACACGCGTATCCGTTTCTCAGTAACATAGCACGATACCGAACACAGTGTTGATTTTGGACGATTAGATCTAAGAACTAAAGAACCCAATATCCAAATCTTTCTTGAAGATGATCAACTAGGAATTGGTTGAGTGGATCCCAAAACTTCAATCTTTTAAGTGAGGAAATGTATATTCCGCTAAATTTGGCAACACGCACACCAAACCAATGCATCACGCAAAATACTACGTTTGATTTGCTAACAAGAGTTCACGTCACATTATAGGAATCCAAGAAATGTCTTCCAATCTTTTTGTTTTCACCTACACCCTGTTTGGTAATTGATAAAACAAGAGAAAATGGTCTGTGTTCTCAGTTACCATAGTTTCCTTAGTTTGGAAATGGGAAAAGTGCGAAAACTCAGATACCAGCATTCCCTCTTGTTTCCACACTTTTCTCTTTTTAGGGGACAACTATAGAGTACCCTAAAGGGTATTTTGTCGATTTCTTGGGAAAATGGGGGAAACATAAAACTACCTCATCCCCATTTTATTTCTTTAACCTCATGTTCTCTTTCTCTTCTCAATCTCTCTTTGCTCAAGCTCTAGAGCTTTCTCTGGTTTTCACAGACAGGTTACCAAACTACAGTTCTCAGCTTCCGACGAGGGTTAGCTACTTCTACGTTTTATCCCCGGCTTCCAGTTTCTCAAAGATTTTCCAAAAAAAAAAACTTTCTTAGTTACCAAATACGCCCATACCTTACTATATGGGCATATCCACACGTGCACATAAGGAGGGAGAAACCCTATCCTTAAAAGCGATTGAATCATGGTCCCTATCATGGGGCCCGAACGTCCAATGAAATTTGGAGACGAAGAGGGACCACAAAGAGAGACGCCATGGTCTTTCTCGTGTCATTGTTTCCATCCAACTCCAGCTTTTTTGGTGGCGCCGAACAACCAAGACACGGAACTCCTTTCTCCCTATGGTTTCGTATCACTCTTTGGTTCATTAATTTGCCGGATTTATCGATCTTATAAGGTTGAGGTTTGTATAGAGCCGAGGCTCTAAACAATCAAAGTAAAGCATACTTTCAAATAGTATCGAGAAATATGATTTTAATACTAAAAATCTTTGTGATAATTTTAAAATATATTTTTATATGTAATTATAAAATTTAAAACTTCAAAAATAATGTAGATCATGAAAATCTATTGAAACATGAAAATCTTGAAAATTGATGGTCCGAAAATGCGTTGCATGATGCACTATCTCAAAAACTTGAAATCCATTTTTTTTTTATTATTTCCATGCATTTTGATGCCAAGATGATCAATTTGATGATATTTGAGCATCAAAACAACCTCTTCTTATAAAAATTTTGAGGTAGGTTCTAATTTGATTGTTTAGAGCCTTGGCTAACTTTGTCCATCTGATAATGGTTAGGTGAAAAAGGTGCCGCATCCCTTATTCGTGGAACGACTTTATAAAAATAATTTCATTTCTTACCCCCCTTCTCTATTGGTTGAAAATTATAGTTGTAACCCCCATCTAATACATTACGTCAGACACCTTTTGCGAATCATTCCTACAATGTTATGTGATTAAATAATCTCATACATTGCTCTCTAAAGTGATTGGAAAGGTATGCCTTGTCCAAATCACTTATGCTGCTCAAAGATATGTAAATGGTAGCAATGTATAAATTTTTTATATACAATTTAGAAGTTGTTGGCAAATGTTGGTGAGTTCCTTTTCTCCTTTTCTTTTCTTTTCCTCTCCTTCCTTCCTTTCTTTCTTTTATTTTTATTTTTTATTTTTTTTATTTTTATTAATTTTTTTTTGTCACTTATCCTTTTTTACATTATCTTTTTTTAGTTTATTTTAAAGGGTTATGTTAGGCAGTTTACACTAGAGAGTATTTTATAATTGTAATCAACAAATTTTGGATACTTATATACCCTTGTTTTATTTTGGTAAGGGTATTTTTGGTAATTAGGAGGGGTGTGACATCATTATTAATGTGCTCGATGTGAGTGATGTCACATTCTATGTAGATGATGTCATACCCCTCCTAATGACCAAAAACACCATTATTAAAAAAATACTCCATGTACAAAACAAGGGTATATAAGTATTCAAAATTTGTTGAGTACAACTCAAAACAAGGATATTTAAGTATCCAAAATTTATTAAGTACAATTATAAAATTCTCTAGTGTTTGAACACCCTAACATAACCCTATTTTAAATATCCTCAACCATAAATGATGGGCAAGGTTGCTATGCGTCCAACTCTCATATTGTAGAAATGCGGGCTTGGCAATAAATATTTTTTTAACTATAATTTGATCGTAATTTTTTAGAGAATATATAATCTTTAACATGGAGATTATAAATATAAAAAAAATGTTTTTTTTTTTAAGACTAAAAACAATAATTATATTAAAAAACATTTGGACCATTACTCACACTTGTTTTTGGATGGACCACCTATTTGCATCCATCTTTAAAATGAATGATTTATACCTCTGGACCTCATACTATAGAAATGCAGTCCAGCCCACATGAAATAATTTTTCATAAATGATTTGGATAAATATTATTGGCAAATATCGGAACTTTGGGCACATTAATAAAAAAGACTTTGTTTTTTTTGGGTAGATCAGTGGGGAAGTCAGCCCCTACGCATTCTGCTTAACCTCTCTCTCTCTCTCGTTTATCTTGTTTGCTTTTGCAGGCTGAAATTCCTAGTTAAGACCAGGCCTCATTCCCTGGGCCTACGTCTTAGTGACGTGCAGCTCTTATCAATCCTTCAAGATAAACACCGTACGGCTTCCCTACATGCTAGCAAGGATTGCAAATTGCAAAGTAAAAAAACCATTAAAAAAATCAAGGATTGTAAACTGAAGTATGAATGGTTCAAGGATAAGTATAAATGGTTCCCTACATGCTAGCAAGGATTGCAAATTGCAAAGTAAAAAAACCATTAAAAAAATCAAAGGATTGTAAACTGAAGTATGAATGGTTCAAGGATAAGTATAAATGGTTCATTGCTTCTGCATGTGTGACATCCTCTTGCTGCTTCCCAAAACAAAAACCAAGGTTAACAAATGTTTTACTCAACAAATATTCCTAAGATCAATACTCTCCTTCTCTTAACTTTCAACACTTGGGACATTCCAAAATTGAAAATTCTTTTGTATAGTTCAAGGGGAGACGAACGAGTCACTAGGTCGGCCTCTCTAATCCTACTTGCTTACAAAGAAATCATGAAAGAGATTACTAAGAAATCATGAAAGAGACTTCCTCTTGCTGCTTCCCAAAAAAAAACCAAGGTTAACAAATGTTTTACTCAACAAATATTCCTAAGATCAATACCCTCCTTCTCTTAACTTTCAACACTTAGGACATTCCAAAATTGAGGAAAATTCTTTTGTATAGTTCAAGGGGAGACGAACGAGTCACTAGGTCAGCCTCTCTAATCCTACTTGCTTACTAAGAAATCATGAGAGAGATTGTACACCAACCTTTTGAAAATATCCTGCATTTCATTGGAAAATTCTTTTGTATAGTTCAAGGGGAGACGAACGAGTCTCTAGGTCAGTCTCTCTAATCCTACTTGCTTACTAAGAAATCATGAGAGAGATTGTACACCAACCTTTTGAAAATATCCTGCATTTCATTTTTTATTTTTATTTTTATTTTTATATGATGAGTCTTTTTATGAGCATATATATATATATATATATATATATGGTGACGTGATATCGTTTTCCAAAAAGAGAGAAGAATATAGAGAAGAATACCTCATTAGAAAAGGAGATCTCTAAATTGTCTAGAGAATTTGTGACGATAGAGCATAAAATTCTCTTTTTCTTCATAGACATACATCTTAAAATCAAGATGTTCAAATTGGAGGTTTTCCAGCATGAAAACACTCTCTTATAGATGATTTAAGGTAAACTTTACTTTAATAGTGTAAGGTTAACACTATAGTTATTAAGAACAGAGGCGGTTTCACCAGTGTTTTGGCCGGTCTAGTCTAGAGTAAGAAACGGATTTAGTAAGAAAAATAAAGTCAATACCAGTGTTTGATCGGTTTTGGCCTGTCTGACAAGCGGTTTCCACCAATTTGACCATCTGAACAAACTGAACATTTTTTCTAATGTATTATATATTTTTAAATTATTATTCACATTGTCTTTTTTATATTCGAAAGATCAGATCAAGTTGTTTCGATTGACGATTAGACCGGTTTTGATTAGACCAGGCCCATCACGGGTCACAGTGAACATGCAGATCATAATAACACTGGTTGACACCTTATATGAACTTTTACTGTTTCCAAATTGTTTTCTTTCTTTTTCATTTTCTGAACTGTTAAACCATAGATATTATTATTACGAGTTTCCATTAATGTTTTAAAAACTTGTTTTTCTTTTTGGGTAGATATAGCATTAGAAACTCAACGATGTGAAAATATAAGGTCACATTTAAAATAACACGCTTAAGTGTGGAAACAAATGCTGAAGAAAGGAAAGAGACTGAAATAATTATTGATGAGATTCACCTAGGTAAGAAATCCCTATTATACCTCAAATTATGACACGTGCCACATATAGTAAAGATAAATTTATACGAAACATGCCTCCTTTGACAAGGTTAGCCAATGGGATACCAAGTTATTAACACATTAAAAGGCCTATTAAGCCATTTGGAATCACACCAAGCAAGAAACCGTTTCCAATTAGTTACCCAAAATTTGTTTTAATACTTACCCAATAAAAAAAAAAAAGAAACAGTTTCCAATGAAATAAGCACATGAATATTCGAGGTATTTCAGACCAAATTTGGCTGATTATTTCCAACTAAATTCCTTGACCATTTCATGTTAATCTTCCAATGTTCATGAGTTGACCGTCCCATGATATTGCCCCTATTGCCTATGCTTCTTGTTCTATAAGTGCCCCAATCCACTTCTTTTTTGGCTCAATAGTTGTTTCTCTCCCTACAAGCCCACCTTATCCTCCCTCTCTCTACCATAATTTGACCTATCTTTTTCTCTCTCTACCTATCCCAACCTCTCTACATCGTACTCTAATTTTGTCATTTGGCCCAGTTTATATCTATCTCTCTTACATACTCACACCTTTGGGCCCTGGGGTTTTGGGGGCCAACCCAATAACAGTAATTGGCTTTACAGCATTTGAATGGAGATGGAAGGGGGAAGGTGGAGCATGAACCAGCCTCCAACTTATGGAGAGATGATAACAATTCTAAGCATCGATGGAGGTGGAATAAGAGGGACTATCCCCGCTACGATCCTCAGCTTCCTCGAGCACCAGCTCCAAGTATTAATTCATCCTGCTCTTCACTATACATTTATTTTAATTGCGTAGCTTCAAATCGAAACCTTAATTCATCCTGCACTTTTATCTACTGTGTGAGAGAGAGCAAACCGTAGTCACAATTGCTTCTTAGTGTTCACAGGTATTGGTTTTTCTTTGCTTCCCTACTCAAATAACAAAAAGTCCATACAAACAAAATGGATAATGACAGGAGATTCCTATGGATGCCCTTATTTCCATGTTAGACCCTCCCTTATTGCCCCTGTAAAGTTACTATTTACGATATATATATCTTTGGTAGCCACTACACAATGCTTATGGTTATATATATATATATATATATATATAATTTTCTAAGACAAGCTCATAGAAGGTTATATGCCCCCAAGCCAAGTTGAATTTGGGCTAATTTGATGAAAAGTCTAGATAATATGACTTTTAAATTATTTGGAAATCCAGTAAATCTGAAATTTTGGCTCTGTGTAGTTGATCTAGGAATAGTGTACGACTATTACAACTATGGGATGGTAAGCCATTGAATTTAGACATGGGATGTTATGTTGCAATTTTCAACACTCAAACTATCAACCCATGTATCCAGTTTGAAGATTGTAGCTACACAACTGCAACGTTGCAAACTTACATTGCCCGTGCCACTTCCATGCTAACGAATTATAAGGGATAAGACCCAAATTGCAAAGGGGGTAGATATCAAGTCAATTGCAATCCCTGGTACAGGCGAGTTTTACTGAGAATTGTCATCCTCTTAACAGATATTGGATGGTGAAGATGTAAGAATTGCTGATTACTTCGACGTGATCGCCGGGACAAGCACTGGAGGCCTAGTAACAGCCATGCTCGCCACCCCAGGGAAAGATAATCGCCCTCTTTATGCCGCAAAGGACATTCCTACGTTTTACCTTGAACATTGTCCTAAGATCTTTCCTCAATCAAGGTCCTTATCTCTTCTCCTAATGATGAATGTCCTTGTCTTATCTCACATGATCTGTTTTTGATCCATTTTTTTGATGAATGATGCCATTTTGCTTTACTGGTGATTACAGTGGAGTTCTGGCGTCGACCACGAAGCTTTGGGGAGTCGTATCTCGGCCAAAATATGACGGAAAGTATCTTCATGACCTCATCAGACGTGAGTTGGGAGATAAGAAGTTACACCAGACTTTAACCAACATTGTCGTCCCTACGTTTGACATTAGAATCATGCAACCAGCTGTCTTTTCCACTTATCAGGTTATGGCAGTTCTCTAGTTTCTTTCTTTCTTATAGTTTTCGATGTAAATTTTCTGTTGCCAAATTTCTTAAATCTTTAATATTTACGAATGTTTCCTTTTTCTTTCTTCAGTTAAGAGATTACAGTATCAAGGATGCGTTACTATCAGACATTTGCATCAGCACATCAGCCGCACCAACATACCTTCCCGCCCATTACTTTGAGACCATGGGGTCTGATGGGATGGTGAAGAACTTCCATTTGGTTGATGGAGGGGTGGCTGCTAATAATCCTGTAAGAAAATCAAGTATTCTTCCTTTCACATGCTAAGTGGAATAGTTATTTTGGTACTTTAAAATTGTAGATATTTCTTAAGCATTGTGTTATCAGGAATAGTTCATTATGGTCAGTTATATCTTATAATTGTAGACACTTGTGGCTGTGGGCGAGGTTACGAGAGAGATATTTCGGAAGAACCCTGATTTCTTCCCTATCAAGCCCATGGATTATGGTAGATTTCTTGTGATCTCTCTTGGCACTGGTTCTCCAAAATCTACTGATAACTATAGTGCTAAAGATGCGGCAAAGTGGGGTGTTCTAGGGTGGTTATACCACAATGGAGGCACTCCATTAATAGACACATTTACTCATGCTAGTTCCGACATGGTAGATTTCCATCTCTCTGTGGTCTTCCGAGCTCTTCATTCTGAACGTAATTATCTTCGCATTCAAGTATGTAAATCCCTCTCTCCTTATCTTATGTTTTGTGTCTATGCGCACACATTTGTATAAATTAATGTGCTTGTACATGCATACACCGATAGCTGAAATGTGTTCATATGAATACAGTTCACAAAAACACAAGTGTATAGACGAATCCATACATGTAGATAGCCCTACATCGATCTCCTTGCTATTATAATGTTGCTGTCATTTTTGTGCTTAGGGTGATACATTAACTGGCCATGCATCCTCTGTTGACATCGCAACCAAAGAAAATCTGGAAAATCTTGTGATGATCGGTAGTGATCTCCTGAAAAAACCAGTCTCTAGGTTAAATATGGAGACTGGTCTGTTTGAACCAGTAGAAGGTGAAGGAACTAATGAGCAAGCATTAACCAGGTAACCATTTCCTTTCTCTTGGTTTTTCCTATTGATATTTAGAAGTCAAGTCATCCCAATCACATTAAACATTCATGACAAAACCTTGGTGTATATTTCTATATTCAGACATGAAATTGTGAATGGTATGTTTCCCATTGTTTCTTCATATTCCAAATGTGAAAAACTGTTATAGAAACCAAACATATAATGCCCTTAATTATTAGGATTTGTTTCTTATTTTCTGCATTTTCGTATTTGTCCTCAACAAAAAAAAAAGTTTCTCCGAGGGAATCAACGCAACCAATCGTTTTAATGTTTAGAAAATCCCAAAAGAAAAAAACACCAAACTCTTATGAACTTCTAAATATGCTCCTTGTGTAATTGAGCTTTGTTTTTCTTTTACGATATAAAATCCCTAGCAAAAAATATCAGTTACAATAATGGTTTTTCTGATAGTGTCTTGATATCTTCTTGTAGGTTTGCTAAGTTGCTGTCGGATGAGAGAAGACTCCGTATGCAACGATCACCCCACAGCCCCTCCATCAAATAATACATCATGCCATTGTTAAAAAAAAGAAAAGAAAAAGTATCTATTTTAGTTTTTTATTCATTGTAATGCAATGGCAAAGAGCATATTAGTCAGAGTATGCATGTCTATTCTTTTATGCTGGTTATTTGTAAGTTCATATTATTCATTATATTGGTTGTATGTAGGCTAAGCAGTCATGACAAGTCTGGACTGATTATGTATGTATGTTTTATTTAAACTAGTAATTGTATGCAATATGTTTTTATTCCTTGCAATTATTTGTCTTGTGAATGGAGACTAAACATGACAATGTTTGCTCTAGCTATTGAAAATAGTGTCATTTACGTATGGACCCTAAATTTTTTCTAAAATACGAAATGCTCTGTTTATAGGCAGAAATTACAAAGAACATCAGTCAATCTATGTTTTTATATTTTACGAAATGCTCCATTTATAGGCAGAAATTACAAAGAATATCGGGCAATCTATGTTTTATATTTTTGCGAAAATTGCCCCTCGGTCCAAGGATCCTCCGACAGAATTTTAAATTTTTTTTAAGTGTTTTTGCTAGTTTTAATTTTAATTTTAGTTTCCGTACAAATGAAAAACATAAAAAAAGAAAAAAAGTTAAAATTAGGTCTAAGGATGGGATCATTTTGTAATTTTTACCTATAGAGAAAAAAGAAAAAAAAATGCGGTTGACCGACATGCTTTATAATTTTTACCTCTAAACGAAGCATTTTGTATTTTAGAAATTTTTTTAGGATCTGTACATTAATTACTCTTGAAAATATATAGCGGGGAAAATTGATGCCTCACAAAGTTGAAATGGTAGTATCCCTACACCTAGTCACCACATTGTGATTTCCATTCTTATCACTAACACCACCAAATTACCACCTTAAAAAAATCTAACTCCTAATCTACTTGAAAAAAGGGGTAGGGGCCTATCTTCTTCACTAAATTACCTAAAAAAAGAAGAAGAAGTTGATATTAAAACAAGAGTGCAGTTTGTATAGAGTGGAGGTTCTAAACAATCAAATTACATCCCACCTTCAAATAGTGTTGAGAAATAATGTTTCAATACAAGAAATCTTTGCGATAGGCTTAAAATATATTTTCATCTTTAATTATAAATTTAAAGCTTAAAAATAGTGTAGATCGAGCAGATCTATGAAAACATGAAAATCTTGAAAATTGATGGTCCAAAAATGCGTTACGAGATGCACTATTTCTAAAACTTGAAATCCATTTTTTTCTCATGTCCATGCATTTTGAAGTTGAGATGATCAATTTAAGGATATTTGGGCATCAAAACAACCTCTTCTAGTGAAAATTTTGAGGTGGGCTCTAATTTGATTGTTTAGAGCCGCGGCTCTATATAAACTTTTTCCTTAAAACAATCGACATTGGTCCCTAGACATGATCGTCAGTCTGGTTTCCGTTTAGGATTCCGGCACATTCTAATTTCCCATGTGATTGAGGATTTTTTTTTCTTTTTTTTAAAGAGAAATTTACGTATGGACTTGTGAAAAAGATGCGTTGTAGCTCAAGTTCCATAGAATTGGACGTATTAGAATGACCATGCTTTTTCTTGGGGTTTTTCTCTGTTCCCAGTTTTGGGGTTCCTACTTGACATAAGGGTCTGTATTCATTCTTATTTTTGTGCAAAGCCAACGAATAAAAAATCCCAAACTTTCTTAACATTCGTTTAAAGAATATTTTATACAAGATTGAGTCCCTAATCAATCAAACTAAGGCACGCCCCGTACCTTCATTAAAATAAGTTCGTAACTTCATTAAAAGAAGTTGTCTCGATGCCAGAAAACCTTCAAATCCAATCATCTCGATATTGAGATACATGGGAGTAAAAAAGAAAGAAGACTTCAAGTCTTAGTACTAGTAAATTTTGTAATACATTATCTAGACCGTTAATTTTTACGATTTTCAAGTGTTCATAGATCTAATTGATCTGCACTTTATTTGGAGATTATAATTTTATAGCTAGAGATGAAAATAAAATTTTAGGCCTTCGTAAAGATTTTTGGTATTGAAACGACATCTTTCGACCCTATTTGAACCCTATTTGAGCGTGCACCTCACTTTGATTGTTTAGGGCATCAACCTTGTATGAGCCACACCTTTGGTTAAATGATTAACCATTAGAAATATTCTTGGTATGTTTATCATGCCTCACCATTAGAATTGTTAACGGGCCAGGTACAGGCTGGCACTTGTGCGAATTGAGTTTGCAGAAACCTTGTATGGTAGGCCCGAGCCCGAAAATTTAAATATGGCCTAGCCAAAGACTGGGCTGAAAAAATAATAACTTGGCCCAAGCACAACACAACCCAAAAAGTTCCAGCCGGGTTGGGCTAAGCTTGTGCTAGCCCCCAACCTGACCAAAAGTTTATTACTGTGAGAGAAAAACTTATGTATGATGGGAGAAGACCCCATATTTATGCAATATTTGACAAGTTACACAACCTTTGTAATCATAGAAAATAGAAGGACAATATACAAGAAAATAAAAGACATCACAACCTGCATGATAGCCTTTATGATATCAAATGAAAAAAGAAACACAATATTATACACGCACACTCCCCCTCAAACGCGTGATGGTCGAAAGCAGACCATTGAGAGGTTGGACATAAGGTTCGAAAACCAAAGAGCATTATCAGACTTCGTAAAGAAGTAAGCAAGTTGTCCAGATGAGGAGATATATAGAAGAGCGAGTCCCGGTTAGATACTATTGTCTAACAAAATAACAGTCTATATTAATATGTTTGGTACGCTTATTAACCTCAGAATTCTTAGCAATATAAATTGCACTTTTGTTATCACAATATAAAGTCGAAGCAAAAAGTTCCATGTCCAAGTCAGTTAATAACCAGTGAAGCCAAACAACCTTAGCTGTTGTTTGAACCATGACATGATACTCAACTTCAGTTGTAGATTGAGCAATACGTTGTTTCTTTTAGCTCTTCCTAGAAAGGAAAGAGTCTACAAGAAAACTAAAAAAACCTGTATTAGACTTCCTGCAAAATCAGAGTTAGTATAAGCACAAAGCTCAAGCAAGGAAGTCGAAGAAAATAACAGAGCATGATCAAGAGTGTCTCAGATATAACGAATAATATGCAAGACAGTTGCCAGGTGAATAGTGCATGAAGCACTAAAAAACTGATTGACTAGATCAACAACATAATCAATATCTGGTCGAGAAATAGTCAAATAAAACAAACTGCTAACCAATTGGCAGTAAAATGTAGGATCAGCAAGAAGCTCACCATCAGTAGGATGAAGTTTTATATTCAACTCAATAGATTTGGTAACATGCTTAGTATCATTAGCTAAACGAGCTTGATAATAATATCTGTAGCATACTTGAGCTGAGAAAGCAAATAAGCCCGAGGTATAGGCCCAAAAAATACCTGAAGAATCCCAGATCTTTCATTGCAAAAAGCTGACTTAGTCATTGCATAATTTGCTGAATTGTGTCTTTATCATCACCATAAATAAGCATATAATCAATATAGAGGAGGAGAATTGAATGTCCTATGGCTGTAACTAATATGAACATAGCAGGGTCATGATGGCTCTGTTGAAAACCGTCAGAAATAACAGTAGCATTAAATTTTTTGAACCAAGCACGTGGAGTTTCTTTAAGCCCATAGAGTGCACGTTGTAAACGACATACTCTATTATTAGCATCTGAAACTCCTGGGGGTAGCTTCATATAAACTTCCTCTACAAGATCACCATTGAGAAATGCATTCTTGAGATATAAAGGCCACTGGAGAGTAGTACCCACATAAATCAGGGTACGAACTGTAGTCATGTGGGCAACAGGAGCAAAAATTTCAGCAAAATCAATTCCAAATAGTAAGGTTGATTATAACCTTTAACCACAAGGTTTGCTTTATAACGCTCAATGCTACCATCAGCTTTCATTTTGATTTTATAAACCCATCGATAGCCAATGGAATTCTTATTTTTGGGAAGAGGAACAAGGTCCCAAGCACGCATTTTAGTGCGAGTAGCCAATTCTTTGGCCATGACATGTTGCCATTCAGGTTGTTTGGAGCTTCACTATTTTGTGACTCAAAGTAAGAATGAACAGAGGTAAGAAAAGCTCGATGCTGAGGTAAGAAGGTTTTATAGTCCATGAAACGAGGAGGTAAAATAGAAACACAAGTACAACTGAAGGCATTTGTATAGGAGTAGCAAGTACAAGTGCTTGATTTGGTTCAACAACAGTAGTCGAGTGTTCTACCAATGGACCATCTATTGGTGGTGACGGTGGAGACATTGAAGAACAATCATAAAAAAACAAGGAACAAGAAAATAGGTAGAAGAAGAATCAACAACAGGTGGAGTTGAATGAAGAGGAATGTTTTAAGAGAACACCATATTGCGAGACACACGAAGTTTCTTAGTTTCAGGATCATAACACCTATATCCCTTTTGGTTATCAGGATATCCTAAAAAGCAACATTTTTCTGCTTTGGTTGACAATTTATCTCTTTCAGACGTAGGCAATAGAACAAAACATGCACAGCCAAAGACACATAAAACATAGTAATCTGGGGTTTTTTGAATAATTTATCAAAAGGTGAATAATCAGACAAAATAGCAGAAAGCATAATGTTAATTAAATAAATTGCTGTGAGAACAGCTTTAGCCCATAAGGTTTTTGGAATTGAGGATGACATGAGTAGAGCTCGTGCAGTTTCTAGAATGTGACGGTTTTGATGCTCAGCAACACTACTCTGCTGCGGTGTATAGTGTCACGGCCTTACTGTCCCAGCCGGACCCACAAAGGGCTAGGCCTAGGCCAGCCGAAGGACCATAGGGCATGGGGTCATGACCACAGGTAGCAAGTGCCACTCAGTTTGGAGAGCACTCAATACTTTGACAAAGAAGGAATTACAAGTATCAAAGCCTGCCACAAAAGAAACAAAAAATGAAACACAATATACATAACCATAGTCAGTGGGACAAATAAGTCCCGAAATATATATAACAATACAAAATAGTACATATAGGTCCAA